TTCTCGGGTTGGACCGAGACTTGTCATGCGGCCTTGCTTTACTACCGGTAGACCGCCTGTCAAGTTTCGTGCCATTTGGACTTCGTTTGATACTCCAACGGTTAACCGAGGGACTGAAAAGGCCTCGTGTGTGTTGCAGCCCAACACCCCTCCAAAGTGGCCCAAAACCGACCTAAACCTCCTCCATCATCTAGATCGTTCGATCACGATCGCGTGGCCGAAAACCGCACCTCATTTGGACTCTCCTAGATCCCTCTACCTATAAATATGTGACCCCCTCCGAAATTCGCGGTCTAACCCTAGCCTTCATCTACCTCGCGCCATCGAACAATTATCTCCGCGCCCGGACATGTCCGCGCCTCCACGCCGGACCAATCCCGCTTTGCCACCTGTCCCCGCCGCCTTCTCTCTCCTCGCCTGTGCCGCCGCGGCCCTGCGGGCCCACGGCCGGCCCGCCCGGCCCATCTGGTCGCCGCCCCCGCGCCTGGGCGTCCCTGCCACCTCGGGCGCCCCGCGCCGCCGCCGTTTCCCATCGCCGTTCGCCGGCGCGGCCCCGTTCGCCGCCGCGTCCCTTCGTGCTCGCTGGAGCAGCAGCGAGCTCCACCAGCGTCGCCATGCGCCTCGCGACGCGCCCCAGCCGCGCAACAAGTCATCCGGACCTCGCCGGTCTTGTCTTGCTCCACCCCACCTCTCCGCCATGGACCCGCTCAAGCTTGTTGGAGGAACTCCACCTCGCCGGAGTTGCGAGCTCGCCGGAGAGCTCCGCCGCCCGGATCTGGTGTGGGTGGACCAGATCCACCACTCCCCCACACCAAACGCGTCACGGATCTTGTCATCCCGCTCCGTCCGATCCCGTTGACTTTCTCGGATAGGTCTAAATTTCATCTAAGTCCCCAGATCTCAGTAATTTTATGCCATGTTCATCGCATCATAATTCTGCATCCATGGCTCCATTTTGGGCATGTAGCATATTGAAATGTTCGTATCGTCGAGTACTCCATTTCATCTCATTGCATCATTTTCATTTGAGCTCATCTTGATGCCCAAAGTGCTGTTGGAAGAGGGCTATGTGATGATTAGTTTCAGATCTGTTTCAGCAAATGCACTTTTGTCATTTTTGCCATGATTGATGTGTGCATGATATGATCCTGAGCTCTACATGTGTTTTGAAGTATGCCATGCCATCTTTACAGGGGTGTATGCCATGTATTTTTGTGATCTTTGTGGTGACTAGCACAAGCATGCAAAGTAGCTTACTTAATGTTGCTGATTTCAGAGACTTAGAAATATTGTAAGTCCTTGTCCTGTTATTATTTTATGCCATGTGTTCATGTTGCTACCGAGAGATCTATGCCTCTTTTGAGCATGATCAGTAAGAATGTTTTGTAGATAATGTTGTGCTCTATCCATCCATGTCTTTGTTTGTATTTATGGAGCACCCTAGCTTGAGTCAATCGAGCTCTACTTTTGCTATAAAATGTTCCTGTCAGATTGTTAACATGTTTATCAATTTTGCCGAGCTTGTTGTTGTTGATCCATGCATTCTATGTTGTTGTTCTTGACATGTCTAGCTTCTATGCCATGTCTACTTGATGGGTGTATAGTTTGTCATGCAATGCCTCGTGGTGAGTGCATCGAGCTCGTAAACATGACCACTTGATATTTGTTTTGCTATGTTCCAGTTTTTCACTAAGTCTGAATCTGTTAACGTTAATTGTTATGTTCACATGGTTGCCATTGTATTTTCTGATCCCTTTTGGCTTATGGTCAGTAAGAGACTTTTGTTGTATGCTTTGAGTAGCTTCATTTCATGCCTTGCTTTGCCATAATATGTTGTTTTAGCATGTAGTTATCATGCTCTAAACATTGCTTCCTGATGTTAAATTCCTGACTTGTTGGTATTTTCACTAAGTCTGTAACCTGATATCTTTTTGCACTTTTGCCATGCTTGTCTGAACCTGCTATTGATTGAATTAGCCGTAGCTCAGTGCTCATCTTTTGTCAAGCATCTTGAGTGGATCCCTACCATGTATTTTGTTGCTATCTTTGAGTGCAGTAGCTTAATTATCTTGATGCATTTAGATGGCCACTTGCTCTTAATTGCAGACCGGTGTCATATTTGTTTTGCTTGCCATTTCCAAACCGTGCATCCGATTTCGGCGATCTTTATATCGATTTCGACCGAAATCAACTCCTCTTTCCAGTGGCAGTCTTGGATTTACACGTTGAGGCCAGGTTCAATCTTTCCTTTCCAAATCATGCATATGCATCACATATCGCATCCCGCATATCATGCCATGTTTTGCATCATGTTGCTTGAGCATTGCATGTGGTTGATTGTGTTCCCCTTTGCTTGTGTTCTTGCTTTGGGTAGAGCCGGGAGACGAGTTCGTATTCGAGGACCCGTTGAGTACGTTTACGAGGATCAAGCTTTCGTCTTCTCGGAGAACTTTGCAGGCAAGATGACCATACCCTCGAAATCACTTCTATCTTTGCTTGCTAGTTGCTTGCTCTTTTGCTATGCCTATGATGTGATACCTACCACTTGCTTATCATGCCTCCCATATTGTTAAGCCAAGCCTCTAACCCACCTTGTCCTAGCAAACCGTTGTTTGGCTATGTTACCGCTTTGCTCAGCCCCTCTTATAGCGTTGTTAGTTGCAGGTGAAGATTGGAGTTTGTTCCTTGTTGGAACATGGATATTTGTTGGGATATCACAATATCTCTTATTTATATTAATGCATCTATATACTTGGTAAAGGGTGGAAGGCTCGGCCTTATGCCTGGTATTTTGTTCCAGTCTTGCCGCCCTAGTTTCCGTCATATCGGTGTTATGTTCCCGGATTTTGCGTTCCTTACACGGTTGGGTTATAATGAGAACCCCTTGACAGTTTGCTTTGAATAAAACTCCTCCAGCAAGGCCCAACCTTGGTTTTAGCATTCGCCACCTAGCTTTTTTCCCTTGGGAGTCGTGCATCCCGAGGGTCATCTTTATTTTAACCCCCCCGGGCCAATGCTTGTCTAAGTGTTTGTCCAAACTAGAGCCCCTTGCAGCGCCACCTCGGGGAAACTCGAGGGATGGTTTTAGCTGTATGGATTGCTTATCCGGTGTGCCCTGAGAACGAGATATGTGCAGCTCCTATCGGGATGTCGGTGCATCGGGCGGTCTTGCTGGACTTGTTTTACCATTGTCGAGGATGTCTTGTAACCGGGATTCCGAGTCTGATCGGATTGTCTTGGGAGAAGGAATATCCTTCGTTGACCGTGAGGGCTTGTGATGGGCTAAGTTGGGACACCCTTGCAGGGATTTGAACTTTCGAAAGCCGTGCCCGCGGTTATGGGCATATGGGAATTTGTTAATGTCCGGTTGTAGAAAACATGAAACTTAACTTAATTAAAATGCACCAACCGCGTGTGTAACTATGATGGTCTCTTCTCGGCGGAGTCCGGGAAGTGAACACGGTGTTGGAGTAATGCTTGATCGTAGGTTGTTCTAGGATCACTTCTTGATCATAGTTTGTTCGACCGTGCTTTTGCCTTCTCTTCTCGCTCTCATTTGCGTATGTTAGCCACCAAATATGCTAGTCGCTTGCTGCAGCTCCACCTCATACCTTTAACCCTACCTATAAGCTTAAATAGTCCTGATCGCGAGGGTGTGAGATTGCTGAGTCCCCGTGACTCACAGATACTTCCAAAACCAGCTTGCAGGTGCCATTGAACCGTGCATGTGACACAACCAAGCTTAAGGAGGAGCTCGATGAAGATTGTGTTCGCTATGTTGTTCCGTTTCCAGTTGATCAGTAGTGGAGCTCAGTTGGGACGATCGGGGATCTGTGTAGCATTTGGGGTAGTCTTCTTTTATTTTGGTTCCGTAGTCGGACCTTGAGTGTACCTGGATGAATGTAATATTTTATTCATGTATTGTGTGAAGTGGCGATTGTAAGCCAACTATGTACCTTTTTCCCTTATTGTATTGCATGGGTTGTTTGCAAAGATTACCTCACTTGTGACATTGCTTTCAATGCGGTTATGCCTCTAAGTCGTGCTTCAACACGTGGGAGATATAGCCGCATCGAGGGCGTTTCAACTTGTTGACGGAGAGATTGACAATGCAAGGAGGGCTGCTGACCAGCCATTGCTTCATCACTGGCCTGAATTTACGCGGGATGATGAGCATGGCGATGTCCTCCTGGTCACTGATCTGCACGTAGAACCTGATAGGTTCCCATGCACCTTCCTCATGGCTAGTCCTCGGCCTTCTGCCAGCGCTCAGCGGCATCCTCATGTAGTCCACCCTGCCAGGGAGCACCACACTCTTCAGCCACCGGTTGGTGGGGATGAGGTCCTCCGCCCCTCTCTGCCAGCAACGACCTACGCAACACTGCCGGCTCTATCACACTCCGTCTTCATTATCTTGTCAGGAAGATGGACATCAGTTTGCAACATATGACATGTGATCAAAGCTAACAAGTAGGAGAGCATATATGCTCACTGAGCGCAACTTGCAATGATCACTACTAACACATGATCAGTGCCACTCTGATCAGTGCTTATAGTTATTAATGCTAACACTGATTAGATCAAGCCACCACTCACCTGTCCTACTTGCACCTACTATTTTTGGCATTCGGGTATGTTATGTCCTACTTGCATGCCACATGCACTCACGTACCCTAGCAACAAGAGCAAGAGAAGCACTAAGAACTAACAACAGTAGCAAGAACAGTAGCGAAAATCCATTCCTGAGCCCGAGCCCAGCTGCTCCCGAAATCTGCACCGATGGCTTGCGCGAAGATTAGTGCTCTACGATGTATTTCCTGTACGTATATGTTTTCCTCGCAAGGCATGGAGCGAAGCATTAAATGCGACGGAGCGTTAATCCGCCGTTGCGGGACAGATCTCCAACGGATGGCTCGGCTGGTTATCAGAGCCATCCCGTGCTCATGAGCCGTGACGGTCGGCCATCTAGAGGTCTCCACCGGGCAGATAGCCCGCAATAAATGTCGACCCACAACTCCCAACCACCCATCGAACTCATTCACTACCCCGAGAGAAATCAATCTCTCTGGCCTGAGCCATCCTCATCTCCAGCGCCGGCGTCGACGCCATGTCTGCTTCCTCGTCGAACTCGCTCCCCATCCCACCCGACTGGCTTCTGCCGCTCTTGCAGTGTCCACTGTGTGACGACGAGATCGAGTCCAATGTTGCGAGGTCAGGCACTCAGGCTAGTAATCGTTTCTACAAGTGCACCCGCTATGATGTAAGTAGATCTCACTCGAAAATATTTGGCCTCCCTTATCTGTACGTGCTTATTGGACTCTTTTCAGATTTAGCTGACATCTGGATTCCTTTTTTTCCTTCTTTTTTGTTCCATCTATTTGTTGGCAGGCTCGTCAGTGCCGTTTTTTTGAGTTCCAGCGTGCTTATTGGAGGAGGATGAGCCCGATGCAGATTGGCGCCGCTCAGTAGCAAGCAGGGATGCATCCAGGAGGCCAGATGTTCGGCATCCATCAAGCAAATGCAGCGGCGCAGTTAGTTCCGGCGATCAACCAGCCCAGGCTCAGATCCACCCTCAAGTCCAGCAAGATCCACCAGCGGTAAATAATCAGATTCAGCATCCCCCTCAGGCGGCAGCGGCGGCATCTGCGACGGGCACTCAAAGCCTTGCTGTCATCGCAGTTCTCCTTGGTGCGACCAACATCCTGCTCACAGTCCTGGTCCTGATGGTGGTAGTTGTGTCGGCAAACTAGATTAGCATGGGGTCCCAGATATATGCGTGTGATGCGTACTAAGAAGATAGGGTGATTTCGTGGGGTTAATCAAGGGTGGCTCCCTCTACCGCTAAGCCTGTTTCCCTATGTAAACCCACATCTAGTAGTTATGCAAGTTGAAGTGTTGTAGTCTGTAATGGAGTGTCTGAACTTAATGAAGCTCGTTTAAGATTATTGCATATTTGTCTTATATTCTTTGCATGGACCTCGTTTGTTCTGTGCTGTGTCTGTTGACGCAAGTTGTTTTTAGTTGGATTCATCAGTACATGATTTTTTTTGTTCATGCTCTGCTGCAGCTAAATTATTCTTAAGGTATTATCACAATCCCACTCAGATGGGCACTTTACGCACACCGACAGGTTGTTAATCTAATGCAATGTAATCCACCGCTCGTCAAAGCTACACGATGAGCTGCACGTGTCCGCCTGCAACCCAAGTTGGCATTACGGACATAGCCACGGACAGATAGGCCCAAATGTGAAGGCACACGCGTCCGCACCGCACCATTTTTGCGTTACCACTCAAATGCAGGTTAGGGGCAAAATAGACAGAAGACCAAAAAGGGTGTGAGCCCTAGATCGTGGGTGACACCCCCCATCCTCTAGCATACCACATCATATTTTGCCGACGCCGCCACCGGCGACTGCCACGCAAAGTTCCCCCTCTCCGCCGCTCCTTGTTCCTCGTCGGTCAGGGGGCTTCTCCCATCCAAGCTGCGCCGGACACATGGTACTTCTTCCTCACCCATTAGTTTTATTTCGTCGCATCTGATTACTCAATCCCATTTTTGTCATGGTTCTAGTCAGTGAAATCTAAAAATAGGATTCATTTTTTCATTGTTTTTGGCTGCTTTTTTCGGCTAGGATGACCATAGTTCGCACTCTGCCAGTTGCGGCGGAGAAGGCGAAGGTTCTGGCAATGAACCATTAGATGGTGGCGAACATGTGCTTCTGAATGCAGTAGATGCGTCATCTTCTAGCACAAGCCCAGGAGATCCACCGTCTCCGACCTCACACATATCTGTGAAGCACGCAGTTAGCGTCATTCAGACATTCAGTGAGTACAAGAAGTGGTT